GACTCATAATTAATTAAGACTTGAACTGGATCCGCGTTAGGTTGAGATATATTGCGAGAGCCGTCGTATGCAATTACTCCCTATCACCGTCATGGCATTTGACTCTTAAGCATGAGAAAAGTATAGACTCTTTTATTAATTAATAATTACTTTGATTTGTTCGGCGGATTCTTCGGGATCCTTAGACCGACACTTCGGGTAGTTATGTAATTAATAGTTAGAGGGTTATATTTTCAATATTTGCATCATTGCTACTTGTATTTATTTTGTATTGATTATGATTGATCACAAAGTAAATTCAAAGGCCTTCGTATGATTTTAGACAAAATGATTTATTATATATTTATTTATTAAATTATTATTTTTGTCGAACAAATGTTTTATTGTGATCGAGCCAGAAATAATCAAAGGTACCAAAACAAATATATTAATTAAGTAGTCGGATTGATGGCATTATTTATCCGATAACTAATTATGCATAGAGGGGTCAAAGTGCAACATTGATTTAGAGGTTATTTATTATTTAATTAGAGTTCAATTAATTTCTTTTAGTGGAGTAGAAATTAATTTATGAATTAATTTAATTGGGTCCATGGACCGGGCCAATCATTAATTTATTGTAGCCAATAAAATAATAGGCCCAATGGATTCTCACTCATAGCCCAACTTGATATTGGAATCATATTAGATTTGAGACATGTGAATTAGAGATTGATAAGGATTAATTGTTTCCTTTTCTTTACCTTTATGTTGCCTATAAATATACATGGTCTATGTATATTTTAGGGGTGATTTTTAATGAGAAGGAAAAAGGAATTTATTTTCTCTCTCTAGAAAATTAGAGTTTATGTTTTCATCTAATGGAGGCTCCCACAAGCCTAGTTTTCCAAGGTCATTCATGGAGGCTTATGAGTGATACCTAAAGGCAAGACCATTACCAAGAAGATGGAGATGGAGATCTATAGAAAAGGTGTCTAGCAAAAGGGATCTACAATAAGTGAGAACATTTACTTTAGAGGAGAGATCTAAAGTTTACTCAAACCTTGATGTAAGTATTCAATCTTTTAATTGAATGATACATCATGTTTTATTTTTGCATAAAACTTGTCTCTATGTAATGAATCAAGATCTATGAATTAAAATCCCTCGAAAAGTTTTTAAAACTAGCACGTTTCCTAACAGGATCACCATCATGTGAGGAGAGCTTTTATCCAGAAGTAATGGGCATATTGGTACAAGATAACAGAGTGAAAACATACTTGGATTGGGATAGATGTAAGCCTGTAGGAGTACGTTTGGCTTCCATACCCAAGAAATAGAAGATCACCTAAGTCCTTCATTGAAAAATGAGAACTAAGAAAAGATGTAAAAGATTGAATAAGAGAGAGGTGACTGCCGGTTAAGATGATATCGTCAACGTAGAGAAGAAGCACCATAGTACCAGTCGAGGAGCGAAACACAAACATAAAGGAATCTGCTCGGCTACATAGAAAATTGCTAAATCGTTGAAACCAAGCACAAGGAGCCTGTTTAAGGCCATAATTATCTTTGTGAAGCTGACAAACATGAGTAGGCCGAGAAGGATCTTGAAAGCCAGGGGGTTGCTCCATATAAACTGATACCATGAAAAGTGAAGGCTCTGTATATTTATTATGTGCAGTATTACGTTTACAATTATCATATATATATATATATATTGAATCCCTTAATCAGATCCCTAATCAAAGGGATGACAACCACTATTATATCCCAATATTAAAGGAATATTGACCGCAGCCTATGACAGCAACATTACCTAATTGAGTGCCTTAATACTCTGCAAATGTCTCTCTCTACTCTAATGGCTATGTATGAAGCTTCTATTCAAACCCTAGAGGAAATTTCAAGAGACAATAGATTGTGCTTTTGCTAAGCATAACCAAATTCGAACTTCATCAAATTATGATCTGTGTACTAGTTGTGGAGATGAGGTCTGGCAACTGGACTTAATTTATCTTGGAAAGGTAGACGTTGATGGTGTAGAAATACATGAAAAGCATAGAGTTGTAGGACTTGAACGGTTAAAAAAAATATTGCAAATGAGAGAGATCTTGAGAGCTGAATGTTGCAAAGAAGTGTGGAACATCATGGAATTTTGAAGAAGTTAAAGTTTTATTCCTACCTTGAAAATGGGACAAAATTGGGTTAACAAATTGGATAACAGTCAAAAGGGCAAAAGCTTCATTTAAAAATAATGTGCGGCGGAGTCACGTGATTGCATATCGTTTGGAATGCAACGGATGATTGACAATGTGGGGTTAATTGTAAAAAAGAAAGTAGTTTAAGGAGTTATGTGTCCATTTAGTAGTTCAAAGGGGTTTTTTTTGGAAGAAGGTAATTTAAGGGGGGTTTTATGCACTTGACCTTTATAATATTTTGAACCGGACGTTATTGCTAGTTAGTGTTCCACTTTGAGTTCTTGCTATCCAAACCATGTGGCAAACACAACTAGACTAAAGGAAAACAACAAAAAAGAGTGTTCACAAAACCAACAAGAATGGTTTACGTTTTTTTGTTTTTTTTGTCACCAGGACCATTTTTATTTTATTATTATTATTTATTTTATTTTGTTTTTCTCCTTTTTAGTAACAAGTAAACTCCAACAAGACTAATCTTTAGGTGAGTGCCGCTCAAGTACCCTTCAGGGAAGTAATTATTATTATGTTTTTTTGACACAACTACATGAAGAACTGAACATTCTGTCAATTAGACAAATCTATTAATTAAAAAACTTTTTGCACATGCAATATGGTCAATGACATGAGCATGACTCAAATGATAACCATTTTTAGATAAAATCTTGGTAAATACATGAGTGTTTTTTTTTTCATCATTCTTGATTGATCAGGGCTCACGAGGACAACTCTATTCCACATGAATTGGTGACGTCGAAAGAATAACCCACTTAAGCATATGAGTTATATTTCTAAGAGAAGTCGTGATACCGATCGCAATGTAACGAAATAAGATAAAATTAATATAAATTGGTCAAAGCGGCCGATATGGGATCTTAAAAAAAGGTCGCGTATTGACCAATACGAAGAACTATGAATGAGAGTGATTAATGAAAATTGTAAAAGTACTATGAAAAACTCTCATATAGCTAAAGATTTTCCAATACCAGTTGTTTGAAGTGCGACAATTTTTGATATGCTTAGTTTGTAACTCTGAAAATAATTTAATTGAGTCTCAATTATAAAAAACCATATTTTCATATAGAATAATGATAGGGAGACCAATAAATTAACCTCGAATAAGTATCGAATTTAATGTGTTTTTGTCTACCTCATCTACTTAAACAGTTTCTAAAAAAATAATTGTTTAACACAGTGATAAGAATGGCCAAACACGTCAAATTTGATGCTAATTGGATGATTTCTTTTCGGTTTCCCTATCATTACTCTTTCATATAACTATTTTTTCATTATTTTTTTTTTTTTTTTGGAAATAATTTATGAACTACAAACCAAGCTGTTAATTTTCAAGAACCACTCCAATCAACCTATCATGTCAAAGTCCACGAATCTGATTATTGAAATCTCTAATAATATACCTCATGTTGATTGAAAGACATTAATGAATCCATGTCAAGTCGATGATTCATTCTCACAATCCATGGAATGGATGTCCAATCGAACACTTGTGACTGTCCGAGACATTCCCCCTTCCTAGCACAAGAAACTTAAGCACACATTTGTGGAATCCTCACCTTTCTTTTTAGGAGTAGAGGAGATACTACTAAGCTGAACTAATGCCAAATCAACAAAACCGACTCGGGCACAAGCAGGATTCATTAGCCAAAATGCATCAGCAAAACCGACTCGGACACAAGCAAGACTCATTCAGGCAAAATGCATTTTCCAATAAGACAAGCGAACATCATTATCTTGTCTACAAAACCAAAGAGGCAAAAATTAAGTCTTTAGGCTTCGTTTGGTTAGATAGAATCAACGAGAAAATAAAGAAAATAGAAAATTTTAAAACTTTTTAGGAGTTTGGTTATATAGAAAAGAAAAAGTTAGGAAAAATTAAAATTCTCGTAACCCTCTATTTCCCTCAAAACATTTCTTGCATAAAACATGGGGAAAATATATTTTTACGTTAGTAATATCTTTTTATTTTGTGTTCTTATTTACCAACAACTTCATTGCATTATTTTACACAATTTTATCATATTTTTTTTACTGATTTCAAAAAATTGCAGTCCAACAACAATTTTATCATTGATAGGGTTTTAATTAACTTACTTTCATTTTTAGTTACTTTCCATCATATATGAATGAAATAAATAATAATTTACAAGGTTTAATTTAATTAAAAACTTCATCATTTTTTATATACATACTACTAATTAATTTTTTTTTTATTTTACTATTTTTATAAAATAAGGATAATTTAGGTATCTAACTATAACATGATATTTTTTTAAAATTTTCTTGAATAAATTTTCATCTTAATCAAATACATACTAAAAAATCAATTTTCATTTTATTTACTTCACTTTTCTTTTTCTTTTTCATTTCCTTTCTTTTCTTACTATTTCCATGGAGCCTTATTATTCACCCATTTTTCAGATAAGAGCAAAGGTGATTTAATCGTCTTCGCTGTATTCTCTATATCTTTTGCACAGTTGATCTTTAGTTGAAAACAAGTATTCGAGAACCTTAATACCGGTCAGCTAAGCAAGGCAGCTAGAATACAAAATTTTCTAAAACTAAATTTTCCTTTTTTTTTTTTTTTTAAATGGCAAGAAACAGTCACTTCTTTACGCTCCGTTTGTTTTGGACGTTTTATTTTATTTTTTAATATTTGATTGTCGTAAAATATTTACAAAGAAAAAAAATATTAAAATTTAAAAAAAAAATAACTTATTCATCAATTCTCGACAAGTTATTTTACATGCTCCGCCCGATGAATTCGACCTCAATCTCGACCTAAACATTTACCAAACACTAACAAAATAAAATTAAAAAAATATTTTATTTAAAAATATATATATTCTTTAAAAAATATATTTTACGTCGAAACCAGACCAGAATCACTTGTCCGAGAATTTGAATTCTCACCTTCAAATGGGATAAAAGACAAAGATAATGATGATGGATGAGCACGTGCAGCATGTGGTCTTTGTGGATCCACAACTATCTAGTCAAAAGGCAGATGACTGTTGCCTAAAGACTCGTGTGCTGATTGCTCATAGAGATAGCCAAAATTTTGGAGTTCAGATCACCCCATGATCAAACATTGTACTGAAAATGGCAGAAATACCTTCTTGTGGCTCGACTCTTTTGCTCCTGGAGCTGGCCAAAATTCCTGTTGTGTAAAGTGTGCCTTGCAGCTTATGTATATTCTATTACAGAGCAGTTAGAGACATAGCTAAGGCTTGGGGGCCTTCAAAACTTGTTGAACGATCATGCATCTTGATCCATGCCACTCTTCTGCCTTTTTGGAGAAGCAGAGAAGGTACGCAGGGTGTTCAATTTTTTCCGACGAGGAATCATCTTATCTTTTTTTTTTTTATGGGAATCATCTTGTATATACAAGATAATTAACTATCTATCATGCACAATCAAATTTGGAAACCTATACAATACATGCTCTAAGTCCACAACTAATATGATATGATGAATGTCGAATCTTCAGTATGCGATTCGTTACACGCTATGTATGAAAGATATTAAATATGAAGTGTGCAAATCATTACACAAGGCAACAATATATTCAATAAGGAAAACATATACTCACGAGTATAAATATAAAACAACTATGTTATCCAATACTCAAAACATAACCAAATGAATATACAACAGGTCCATGTCCAGGATTTTGATATAGAAACGACTTTCAAACACAATTAAACCCATGGCTCAATTAGATAAAATTTAATTAAATAAAAATAATTAAATTCCCTAAATTCTAATTCAATTCCAAATAATCTCAAATTAATACATATTAAAGAATATGGCATGGTCATCACCTATATCCATTCTAAAACTCAATTAGGTTATTAGAACAACAAAATAGAACTCTAATTAAATCATGCTAATTTAATTACCAATATTCTAAAACAACTTCAAATGGTCCATAATTAATATATATTAGTAAATAAGTTATGACCAATACAAATATCAAGTTAAAATTTTAATTAAGCTAATGGGACCATTAAATAGATTTTAATTAATTCTTTTAATTAAAATCCCTAAATTTTCAAACTTATTCAAATGCTCTCAATTTAACCTATGTTAGGGAACATGCCAAGGCCTATTGTAATATCACATGACAAGCTTATTTCATGCAAGTTACATCTATTTAAATTAAACTTTCACCAAAGATAAATATTAAATAAAAGTTGTAATTCTCATGCAATTAGTCCCACTTTAATATATGTAAGCTACCATACCAAAACTTAATTTATCATCATGCCGCAATCAAATTCCAAGTTGTATATCATCTTGAGGATTAAATCTTAAACAAGAAATTAATCAAAGGAAATGTTCTAAAAACTTAACCAAATATTCTAAATCAAATATATGTGAAACTATATGGCATGTAAATCAAGAATATTAAGTCGGAATTTAAATGGAGTGAATAGTACACTCGGAGCAATTTAATTAATCAAATTAATTAAAAATCTCTATATTTCAAAATATCTCCAATTACTTTCAAATTAAAATATGTTAAAAAGCATGCTAAGGCCTAATATAATATGGTATCACACATTAATTTCAAGCTAGATAAGGCCACATGATTTAATATTTCGTTCAAGATAAAAATTAAAAAAATATTTATTTCTTATCTAAATGCTCCAATTTTAATATATGTTAATCAACATATCGGTGATGTTGCCCTCTAAAGTCATTACCTTCCTCGTGTGGCTGCTTTTCACAGAGATGCTTGGGGGTTATTGCCGGTGTATGTACCAAAAGTTTTTCTGGTGACTGTTTATCTCCAAAGGCTCTCAGAGATTTAAATTGATTGGTATAACACATTATCAAAAGCAAAGCAACATATATAGGTATAACATATTCTAGGAGGCTTATCACACTTCGTGACATAACTCACAGCCGTTATTATTTCTTGGAAGTATAGTGTTAAAAATTGTCTTAAATTCACATTCTAATTAGGATTTTATTTTTACATTTGTATTCTGTTAAGGTAATTTCTTGTTTGGCAAGTTTTGGTCTCTAAAGAATTGTAATCCTTCTCCAATAAGGAATTATGTTTGTAACTCTATAAATAGGTACATATGTTGTGGGTTGAGACTTATGAGATTGGGAAAGATGTAGTCTCATGAGGGAGTTGACGGGAAGAGTAGGAAAAACACCGGTGATGCTGGTAGCGAGGAAATAGACTCGTGGAGTAGTGGTGTTGGCACTCTATTGTTGTAATATCTTTACGAATCATAGTGGAATCTCTTCTCATCCATAGATGTAGGCCGATTTTAGTTGAACCATATATATCTTGTGTTTGTATGTGATTGCTTTGTTGAATTTCTTTGAATCTTTCTTATTTGTGCACTTCCGCTAACCTAACAAACTGGTATCAGAGCTTTCGGTTCAAAGCAGGGATGTCATCCAAGTTTCTGGAAATCGAGAAGTTTAACGGTAGAAACGATTTCAACCTATGGTGGGTTATGATGCAGGCTTTATTGGTTCAACAAGGGTTAATCCGAAGCGTTGATGGGGAAAGATGCACTACCAGAAAACATCAAGGACAAAGATGAGGTTACGGAGAAAGGAGTACGATTTTGTTGTGCTTGAGTAACGAGGTTCTACGAGAAGTTGCTGGAGAGTCTACGGTAGATGGGCTGTGGCAGAAGTTGGAGTCCCGGAAAATGACGAAATCTCTTGTGAATCGCTTGTATCTAATGAAGCGGTTGCTCACTTTTCAGATGCACGAAAGTTCATCTCTGAAAGACTATCTTGACAAGGTAAATATTATCATCATGGACTTGAATAATATTGATGTCAAGATAGAGGATGAAAATCAGGCTATTATTCTGTTGTGTTCTCTACCACCCTCGTATGAGAACTTTGTCGATACAATGATGTATAGCATAACTACTTTGTCCATAGAAGACTTGAAAGCAACTCTGAATTCTAAGGAGTTGCAGAAAATGGCGTTTAAGGGTAATACAGAAAGTTCGGTAGAGGGGTTATTTGTTAGAGGGAGAATGAATCAGAAGGGAGGGTCTAGTAGCAAAGGTCATCTAAGTCTAAGAACAAAATGAAGGTGTTGAGATGCTTCATCTGTCACAAGGAAGGACACTTCAAAAAGGATTGTCTAGAGTGTAAGAAGGGAAAGGTAAAATCCTCTGAAGTTGAAAGTATGGCTGTTGTAGAAGGTATTGATTCAGATGGTGGTAATGTTCTCACAATTTCAATCGGTAACTCTTGCGATGAGTGGATTCTTGATTCGGTTTGCTCGTTTCATGCTTATCCAAACAGGGATCAGTATACCTCTTATCGATCTATTGATGGAAAGGAAGTTCTGATGGGAAATGATGCAACATATAAGGTTGTAGGTATCGGTACAGTTCGAATCAAGATATATGATGGCATAGTGAGGACACTGACTGATGTTATGCATGTACTAGAACTGAGAAAGAATTTGATTTCCCTGGGTACACTGGATTCCATCGGGTGCACTTTTAAGGCTGGAGGTGGAGTCATTCGGGTTTCCAAGGGTGCTCTTGTGGTGATTAAGGGACTGAAAAAGCATGGTTTATATGCTCTGCAGGGTAGCACAATCATGGGTTCAGTTGTTGTATCGTACTCGAATATGGATTTAGATACTACCAGATTGTGGCATATGCGGCTTGGGCATATGAGTGAGAGGGGGATGGATGTTCTAAGTAAGCAGGGTTTGCTTAGTGGTCAGAAAATTGGGAAGCTGGATTTCAGTGAGCATCGTGTCTTCTGGAAGCAGTGAAGAGCGAAGTTCAGTACATGAACTCACAGGACCAAGGATACAGTGAATTATATTCATTCTGATCTTTGGGATCCCTCTCAGGTTACTTCACATGGTGGTGGTAGATATATGATGACGTTGATTGATGAATTTTCTCGAAAAGTTTGGGTTTATATTTTGAAGCACAAGAATGAGGCTTTTGTTACATTCAAGCAGTGGAAGACCTTGATTGAGAAGCAGACAGGAAACCAGGTCAAGCACTTAAGGACAGACAATGGCTTGGAATTTTGTGATGGAGAATTTAATGAGTTCTGCAAGACCCACGGGATTGTGAGACACCACATAGTGAGGAAGACTCCGCAACAGAATGGAGTTGCAGAACGGATGAACAAAACGTTATTGGAGAGGGCACGATGTATGATGTCTAATGCAGGGTTAGACAAAGCGTTTTGGGCTAAAACTGTTTCAACAACTAGTTACTTGGTGAACCGGTCTCCATCGACTGCTATCGATTGTAAGACTACAGAGGAGGTATGGTCTAGTTCTCCTGCTAGTTACAGTAATCTGAGAATATTTGGGTGTCCAACGTATGCTCATGTTAATGAGGGGAAGTTTGAATTGAGGGCTAAGAAATGCATATTTCTTGGTTATCAACTTGGGGTCAAGGGATACAGATTATGGTGCCCAGAGGCTTCGGGAAATAAGATACTTGTTAGCAAGGATGTGACTTTTCATGAGTCTGTGATGTTTACTCTGCAGAAGGAGGTGGTTGTTTTAGGGAAAGCTCAGTTAGAGGATAGTTAAGTAGGTGAAATTTCGGGCTGAGGAAAATGCACAGTTGCAGCAATATAGTTAGCTAGAGACAGGCCTAGGAGGGATATTAGGCCACCTGAAAAATATGGGTTTTCACATGCTGATTCGGTTGCTTATGCACTTAATGTGGCATAGGATATTGATGAGCCGTGTACTTATCATGAGGTCATCACAGGTGGAAAGTCAGCACAGTGGTCTTTTGCAATGAATGAGGAGATTGAATCTCTTCATAAGAATCAGACTTGGGAGCTAGTGAAGAAGCCTAAGAGCCAAAAAATTGTGGGCTGTAAATGGGTCTTCAAGAAGAAGGAAGGAATTCCAAGGGTGGAAGATGCAAGGTACAAGGCACGCTTGGGGCTATAGACAGAGGGAAGGGGTGGACTTCAATGAAGTGTTTTCTCCTGTGGTGAAACATAGCTCAATCCGGGTGTTACGTGCTATGTTGCTCTGTATGCCTTGGAGCTTGAGCAGCTTGATATCAAGACTGCTTTCTTACTTGGTGAGTTGGAAGAGCAGATTTATATGCATCAGCCTGAGGCGTTCGAGATTCTGGGAAAGGAAGATCATGTTTGCCTACTGAAGAAGTCCTTATATGGGCTAAAGCAGTCTACAGTGGTACAAGCAATTTGACACCTTTATGGTTGATAATGGCTACTGTAGGAGTAAGTTTGACAATTGTGTGTATCACATAAAGCTCTCAGATGGTTCGTATTTATATTTGTTGTTGTATGTTGATGACATGTTGATAGCTTGCAAGAACATGTCTAAAATAAACATATTGAAGGCTCAGCTTAGTGGTGAATTTGAGATGAAGGATTTTGGTGCTGCAAAGAGGATATTGGGTTTGGAAATTCAGAGGGACAGAGGAGCGGACAAATTGTATTTGTCACAAAAGAAATACATTGAGAAAGTGCTGGAACGCTTCGGTATGCAGGCATCTAAGCTTGTGAATACTTTATTGGTTACCCACTTTAGACTTTCAGCACGATTGTCACCACAGACAAAGGATGAGGTGGAGCACATGTCTCGTGTTCCTTATGTTAGTGCAGTTGGTAGCCTTATGTATGCTATGGTGTGCACTAGGCCAGACATTTCACATGCAGTTAGTGTAGTGAGTAGATACATGGATAGACCTGGAAAGGTCCATTGGTAGGCTGTGAAGTGGATATTACGATACTTGCGAGGCACTGCAGATGTTGGGTTAGTTTATGACAGAGGCAGCGACATGTGTAGGGGTGTTGCTGGATATATTGTTTCAGATTATGCTAGAGATCTTGATAGGAGAAGGTCCTTGACAGGGTATGTCTTCACTCTTTATGGGAGTGTGATCAATTGGAAGGCGACTTTGCAACCCGTAGTTGCATTGTCTATTACTGAGGCTGAGTACATAGTAGCTACAGAGGTAATGAAGGAAGTTATATGGTTGAGAGGCTTGGTTGGTGATTTGGGCTTGCAGTGGGATGATTTGACTGTGTTTTGCAACAGTCAAAGTGCCATACATTTGATTAAAAATCAGATGTTCCATGAGAGTACCAAGCACATTGATGTTAGGTTTCACTTCATTAGAGATGTGGTTGCACAGGGTGCTATTATAGTGAGGAAGATTGGGACAACAAAGAATCCGACAGATATGATGACCAAGGTAATTCTTACACTCAAGTTCAAACACTGTCTGGACTTGATTGGTACTTACAGTTGTTCAGGCCCTTAGGGGCATATAGAGCCAAAAGCGAAGGAGATTTAGAAAACACAAGAAGTCTCAACATATGCTGCAACGGGCTTTAGTTGTATGTGAAGTCAATCAGCTTAGTCACATGGCATGGAGCTCAAGTAGTCAATGTGGAGCCTTAGAGGTTTAATTGATCGAACAACGTATAATGTGGACAATCAAAGTTTTGCAGGAGTATTGTCAAGATTGAAGATGCAAAAGAATTGTCATGATTAATGCCATGGGAAGTAATGATTGGCCGGATGAAATTTGAGCCAAGGTGGAGATTGTTGGGATTTATGTCTCAAATTCCAGCTCTAATTATATTTCTATTTTAGAGTTGTATTCTGCTTGATAACTTCTTGTTTGGCAAGTCTTGGCCTTTAAGAAATTTTAACCCTTGTCCAGCAAGGAATTGAGTTTGAAACTCTATAAATAGATACATAGGCTTTGAGTCAAGACTTGTGAGATTGAGAGAGATGTAGTCTCATGAGGGAATTGATGTAGAGTATGAAAAACATCGGTAATGCTTGTAACAAGGAAATAAGCTCGTGGAGTAATGGTGTTGGTACTCTATTGTTGTAATATCTCTACGAACTCTTTTCATCCATGGACGTAGGTCAGTTTTGGCTGAACCATGTAAATCTTGTGTTTGTGTATTGTAAAGATTGAAAGAGAAAGAGATGAAGGTTGTGTTCCATATATTAAACCCTAGAACAAAAGAAGCGAAGCCTATATACAAGTACAAGAATGAGCTAATTACATACTGGCCCTACCAACTATACATAATTACAACATGGTCATATATATATATATATATATATATATATATATATATATATATATATATATGTTCTAATACTTCCCTTCAAGCTGGAGAATATATATCATATAATTCCAGCTTAGAACAGATAATCCTCAATCGATTATGACCCAATATTTTGGTAAACATATCAGCTATTTGATCTTCAGACTTCACAAATGGAGTAGAGAGATGCTTCCACTTAATATTTTTTCCCGAATGAAGTGAGAATCAACTTAAATATGCTTGGTCCTCTCATGGAACACAGGATTGGATGCAATGTGAATGGCCGCTTGGTTATCACAAAACAATGGAATAGGAGTTTTAACTGTCAACCCAAGTTCCTCTAGAAAGTGTTATATCCATGTCAACTCATCACTAGTGCTATGAGTCATTGCCTTGTACTCGACTTCAGCACTAGATCGAGCTACTACCGCTTGTTTCTTCCTCTTCCATGTAATAAGATTTTCTCCAATAAATATGCAATAGCCTATAGTAAACCTCCTATCCGAGAGAGATCCAGCCCAGTCAGCATCTGTAAAACCTTCCACACTAAGATGACCATTCGATTTATATAGCAACCCGAAACTTGGAGCCTGCTTGAGATATCGAATAATTCAAAGAACAACATTCCAATGCGGTACTCTAGGAGCTCCCATGAACTAACTTACGGCACTAACTGCATATGAAATGTCAAGTCGGGTGATGGTGAGAAAAATTAATTTCTCAACTAGACGTCGATATCTACCATAGTCGTCAAATAAATCACCCTCATCAGACGAGTTTTATATTTGGATCCATAAGAGCATTAACAGGACGACCACCTAACATATACATGTTTCTTATAATAAGTCCAACACATATTTCCTTTAAGATAAGCTTATATCTTTTCTTGGATCTAGCAACCTTAATACCCAAAAAATATTTGAGTTTCCCCAAAGCAGTATGGAACCGATTTTGCATAAATAACTTCAACTTAGCAAGGCCATCATAATCATCACATGTGATAACAATATCGTCTACATACACCATAAGAAATATAAAACCAGTTCTGGTGTACTGGTAAAATACCGAATGATCTGCCTGACATCTTTTAAGACCAAAGGCAAGTGCTGCCTCAATGAATTTTCCAAACCAAGGGCCTTCTTAAGGCGACGTACAGCATGACGAGACTCCCCCTGAGCAACAAAGCCAGGTGGTTGCTCCATATAAACCTCTTCAAGTAAATTACCATGTAAGAATGCATTTTTCACATCTAATTGGAACAACGGCCAGTTACAATTGGCGGCAATGGAAATAAGGACTCGGATAGAAGAAATCTTCGCAACAAGGGAAAAGGTCTCATCATAATCAATACCATAGGTCTAGGAGTACCTCTTTGCAACAAGACGAGCCTTTAAACGCTCAATAGACCCATCATGAAGATATTTGACAATGTAGACCCACTTACAACCAATTGGTTTAGAACCAGGAGGTAAGGGAACAAGGTCTCATGTTCCATTATGATGAAGAGCATCCATTGCATCTACCATGTCTTTGCGCCAATCGGGATTAGAAAGAGCATCATGCACAGTCTTGGGAACAACAGTGGCAGACAATGTGGATAAAAAATAGGACAAAAAGGGCGATACATTATTATATGAGACAAAGTTAGAAATACGATGTGCAGTGACATAAGAACGAGTACCTTAGCGCAAGGAAATAGGAATATCATTAGCAGGAGGAGGAGCCTCAATGGAAGTAGACAACTGGGGGGATGTTTCCTGTGGTTGTCGACTATACACTTGAAGTGGTGGTGGTGTGACAGACTCAGTTGAAATAGACACAATAGGCAACAGAAGCAATAAATCAGTATTTAAAGACGAACCACATGAAGAGAAGTAAGGAATATCCTAAAAAAATGACATCCATACACACAAAAGCACTACGAGTGTTAGGATCCCAACATTTATAACCCTTTTGAGTTTGAGAGTAACCAATAAAGACACATTTAACAACACGAGGAGACAATTTATCACTACCAGGACGTAATATATGAGCAAAGTGCACACAACCAAAAACACGAGTAGTCAATGCAAATAAGGGACGAGTACGAAAAACAATAGAATAAGGGCATTTCCAGTTAAGAACGGAAGATGGCATACAATTAATTAAGTAGCAAGCAGTTAAAACAGCATCTCCCCAAAATGCATTTGTAAGATGCATATTTATCATTAAAGTCCGAACTATTTCAATAAAATGCCGATTTTTCCATTCTGCTACACCATTTTGTTGAGGAGTATAAGAACAATAAGTTTGGTATAAAATACCATGAGAGTCACAAAATGTAGAAATAATACCTTTTGACATATTCCATTGCATTATCATATTGTAAAGTTCGTATAATACAACCAAATTGGACCTCAATTTCTTTAAAAAAAATAATTTAAATATAGAAATAAGTTCAGACCAGTCTTTCATTAAAAACATTAGTTATCCTTGAATAATCATCAACAAAGGTAACAAAATATGAACAACCTGAATTACTAACATGATGAGCAAGACCCCAAATGTCTATATGCACCAATTCAAATAAAGAAGACAGACGATTATCAATACGAGGAGGAAAAGACACTCTATGGTGCTTGCCCAATTGACATAACTCACAATCTAAAGTAGACACCGACTCAAGAAAAGGTAAAGCAAACTTCAAGTACCTCAAGGAGGGATGACCTAACCGATAATGCCATTGGCGTACATAAACATGTGAATGGAAAGCCACACCACAAGTTGACAACTGGCAATCCAAGTAATAGAGGCCATTCCTTTTAATTCCGCCACCAATTTGTCTTCTTTGTTTTGAGGTTCTGAAAGACACCGAAGGAAGGATAAAAAATCACAGAACAATTGAGTGCTTTAGTCAGTTTACTCACATATAATAAATTAAAAGGAAATTGGGGAACCAATTGCACAGAAGATAATGAAATGGAAGTAGTGAGTTTAATTGTGCCCTGACCAATAATGGGATGAGTTCTACCATCTACAATGGTAACAAAAGATGTGGAGCTAGACTTGTGGAAATTAGAAAATAGAGATTCATTACCCGTTAGATGCGTAGATGCCCCAGAGTCAAAAACCCAAGAGGAGGATGAAGTTTGTACATCTGAAAAACATGTAATATTACCTGACTTGACATAGGTAACAACATCATCAGACTTGTGGTGTGCTTGGTTGACTAAGGCACTGAACTTGGCTCGAGATACTATGACACTGTCACTAATAGATGAATTCGATGGCATTACAAAAGGTGAGGAAGGTGGGATGGCCTGGCCAAGAGAGGGATGAGAACAAATAGTTTCAGAGGAAGTGACAACTTGATTCGCCCATGCTGGTTTTCATAAAGATCCCAACAGTACTTAATAGAATTATTAGTACCCCCATAGTGGCCATAGTGACGACTATCAGTACGTCCACGACGACGACGACCCCGACCTCTATCATGACCACCATTGCCACGAGAACCACACACATTGCCTCCATACCCTCAGTTGGTACTGGGATTACCATGATTTCTAGAAACCTGTGGTGTGACAGAAGGAATCATCATAACTAAATTTTCTTTCCTAGTTGATGTTCCACGTGATGGTTCTAAAATCCGAAGTAATCTAGCATAAATGTTACCCAAAGATGGAAGCCCTCCATCACTAGCAAGGATTTGTTCCTAAATACTCTGAAGATTAGTGTCTAGTCCCGCAAGGAAAATAGAAACATAAAATTCCTCGCGTTGTCGCTTAAGAACTTCAAGATCAGTGGTCAAGGGGTGGTATTGATTCAACCATCCAACAGGCTTTTGAAATCACTGTAATACTCAGCAATGCTCTGACCAGACTAATGAGAATGAAACATCTTTTTATATAGAGAATAGATGCGAGAAACATTTGTGTCCATAGATTAAGTTTCTTTTACTGCATCCCAAATTTCCTTTGCGGTGTTCAAAAACATATACTTTGTTTCAATGGAAAGCTCCATACTATTCCATGACCATGACATAACCATGTAGTTATCTGTTTCCAGTCATTATACCCTATTGCAATTATAGATGGAGGATTATGTTTAACAAATTTTAATTTTCGTTGGGCTCCTAAAGAGATTTTCACAGCTTGAGTCCATAGTAAATAATTAGAAGCACTTAATTTCAAAGTTGTTATTTGCAATCCAACATGATCAAAATGTGCAGTAGAAGGTTTAATCAAGCAAGTTCAGAGGCAGTAGTGGTTGAAGACTTTGACAAGGATGAATGCTCAACTAAAGAGACTATACTTCAAACAAAAAAAAAAAAATGCACAGGCGAGAGAGAGAAGGCAAAGAAATGCTGCCGATAAATTGGTCCGCCGGATCCACAGGAAATTTTGGGTCGAATTCAACAAAATGGGTCAGATTCAAATATGGGTCGGATCCAATTATACGAGTCTGCAGAACTGGGTTGAGTCAGAACCGGATCTTTGCTAAACCGATTTTAGTACACCAGGTTTGGGCTACCTAACTCATGTAGCCAAACACCCGTCATCTTCTTCACACTTGCAGTTCCAAACTGCAACTCAACAACGACGAGGACATGGCGACCTGCAACTCTATCTTTTGGCAAAGGCGACGGCGACGGCGACGAACAACACAGATAGCGGCGACTACAACCGAAAAATAACAGCAACAGCTAAACACGGCAAGACCCAAATCCAGTTACCGACGGCGACCTCTAAAAACTTCTCGTCGATAACCCAGAGATGGTCGTTGACGAAGAACACAGCTAAGAAATGATGAAGGCAGCAATCGCGAGACTACAACAATTTTCAATTACAAACCAAGCTCGCCAACGCATGTCGATCTGAAATATCACGATCGCAAAAAGAAATTTCCGATGATAGATGAAGATGACACATAGAAAAGGAAAGAAAAATGAGGTCCTCTGCACCTCGTCAAACAAATCACGCCCACAAGCTAATACACACCCTAGCCTTCGGTAGCAGCGACAATGGCCGGATTGATGCATTGATACCATGTAAACATTGAAAGAGATGGAAGGTTGTGTTTCATATATTAAACCCTAGAACAAAAGAAGCGAAGCCTATATACAAGTACAAGAATAAGCTAATTACATACTGGCCTACCAACTATACATAATTACAACATGGCCCAATATATATATATATATATATATATATATATATATATATAAATGTTCTAACAACATGAAGCTCGAGTAGTCAAGGTGGAGCCTTGGAGGTTTGATTGATCGAACAACGTATAATGTGGGCAATCGAAGTTTTGCAAAAAGTATCGTCAAGATTGAAGCTGCAAAAGAATTGTCATAATCAATACTATGGGAAGCGATGATTGGCCGAATGAAATTTGAGCCAAGGTGGAAATTGTTGGGATTTGTGTCTCAAATTCCTGCTCTAATTATGTTTCTATTTTAGAGTTGTATTTTGCTTGATAATTTCATGTTTGGCAAGTCTTCGCCTCTAAAAAATTGTAATTCTTGTCCAACAAGGAATTGGGTTTGTAACTCTATAAATAAATACACAGGCTTTGAGTCGAGACTTATGAGATTGAGAGAGACGTAGTCTCATGAAGAAATTGATGAGGAGAGGTAGTATGCTGATTGGTAGAGTAGGAAAAACACCAGTGATGCTGATAGCGAGAAAAAAGGCTCGTGGAGTGATGGTGTTAGCACTCTATTGTTGTAATATCTCTGTGAACTCTTTTCATCCATGAAAGTATGCCAGATTTGGCTGAACCATGTAAATCTTGTGTTTGTGTGTGATTGCTTTATTTCTTCTTTTGCTTTCGATGTGCCTCAACAAATTCGTATCAGAGCCAAAGGTGAAGAAGATTTAGAAAACACAAGGAGCCTCGACATGTGCTGCAACGGGCTTCAGTTGTAGGTGGAGTCGATCGGCTTGGTTACAGGACACGAAGTTCGAGTAGCCAAGTAAAGCCTTGGAAGTTTGACTAATCGAGTAACATATAATGTGGACAATCGAAATTTTGCAGGAGTATCGTCAAGATTGAAACTACATAAGAATTGTCCTAATTAGCACCATGGGAAGCGATAATTGACTTGATGGAATTTGAGCCAAGGTGGAGATTGTTGAAAATTGTGACTCAAATTCCTATTCTAATTAGGATTCTATTTTGGAGTTGTATTTTGTTAGTTAATTTCTTATTTGGCAAATATTGGTCTCTAAAAAATTGTAATCATTATCCAACAAGAAATTATGTTTGTAACTCTATAAATAGATACATATGTTGTGAGTTGAGACTTAAGAGATTGAGAGAGATGTAGTATCATGAGGGAGTTGACGGGTAGAGATAGTATGCGAGCTGGTAGAGTAGGAAAAACACCGATGACGCTAGTAGCGAGGAAATAGACTCATGGAGTGGTGGTGTTCAAGGGCGGATCCAACATTTCTGAATGGGGTGGGCTAACTTTGGATTAGGCTAATTTGGGATGGGTTACCACCCCAATTTTTTTTTTTTTTTTTTGGTGGGCTAAAGCCCATCTTCGCTACCACCCACCCCAATTTTTTTTTTTTTTTGGTGGGCTAAATCCCATCTTCGCTACCCCTAGATCCGCCTTTGGTGGTGTTGGTACTCTATTGTTTTAATATCTCTACGAATCAAAATGAAAGTTTTTCTTATCCATGGACGTAGGCCGATTTTGACTGAATCATGTATACCTTATGTTTGTGTGTGGTTGCTTTGTTGAATTTATTTGAATCTTTCATATTTGCTTTCTTATTTGCGCTCTTCCGCTGACCCAACATATACAGTTATTAGGGTTCAATATAAAACACATCCTCCCAGATCCACTAAATAGACATATTTCAAACTATAAACAAGCGTTTAAAACATAAGCATTAGTTGGTAAATCATATAGAGCAATTAACAAATATCGATCATAAGAAAGTGCTACAAATCATAAAGAAAGTGCTACATCATTAATGTAAATTGCATGAAATACTATAAGTCAAGCATACCCTTATCAGTCAAAAGAACCTAAAATCTAACATCAAAATCCATCCATCCACTTTCCCAATTCATCAACCTAGTTGTGCCTCTTTCAGTGGATGTTTTTTCTTAGCACTCTCTCTAGTCACTATTAGTTTTTTCAATAATTAGATCTAACCATACAACGAAATCTCGTGAAAAATAATTATTGGTAAAAAGGCCGCAATGAGGAGTGGATTTTGTTTGGTCCATATCCAAGAAAATGAATCTCATTTAGTCCATGCGCAATGTTTCTGCGGAACAGTCCACTCAGAAACTTCATTTATTAACTGATGAGAAACATGTAACAATGACACTATGACTCATTATTGCCTACTAATTTGATGGCAAAACTGCAGCATTGTTGCATAATATATGAAATGTTCACATCTCATGCTGAGCATCAATGACATTTCCTCATGCTTCTTTTCTTTTTCTTTTTCTTTTTCGTTAAGAAGAACAATTTTATTTTTACAACAAAGAGTAAAATGAGCAAATGCTTACATCTACAACTTCGCTGCAGGTTTCTTTGCACTACGACCTGCTATGAAGTCCTGCATTTTCTTGAACTGCTCCTTAGTCATTCCATTGTAATATTCGTGAGCCCTCTCCTGAACGTAACAACAACAGCATTAATTTAGTACCACAATAGAAGACAAAATGTATCAATTTACTAAAGCACTGACATATCATGAAGAATGTCGTTTTACATTTTATATATATATATATATATAGAGAGAGAGAGAGAGAGAGTATATTGGTGAGATAATTGCAACCAAATCTCCATTCTTTTAAACCAATACGCATTTCTGTTCATGATCCTTTCATTTATATGGATTAAAGCCAATCATGTCACTGAAGCTATAAGCAGTTACAAATAATTCAAACTACATCCACACTGCTGATGCTTATAAAGATTCTACGCTCTGTTTTTCCCCGTCTCTGTAGAAATACAACAGTGCAACTTAAAAGCATGATTATATAATAGAACTCAATACAAAGATACCAATTGGGGATCGACCTTAAGTTCTAAACACAATTTATATGTCATCTTTCCTATAAATTCCGCTGATAGAGAAAAAAAAAAAACGAATGGCAAAGCATTGGTTCATTAAAGGCAATGCTTTGGCGACAATGAGTTTGCAGAGGCCATTGTGATGTTTAAAACTACAAACTTTGTAAACAAAATACACATATACGCAATTGGTCTAGACCACAGTTATATTTCCATTTTGTTCCATGCAGAGATGCTGTTTCAGCCAAAGAACAGAACATATGAAGCAACAGTTTGCACCACCTTTGGTTTCCGCCATCTTGGACCAATTTGGTCAGTATAATCAAAATCAATACACTCTAGACGAAATTTTTGTTTCGCCAGTATCTGCAACTTCGGTTACATGGTTGAGAGACAGAGAGTTAAATGTAACGACTTGGTAGCAAATATGTCAGATGGTATCAGCTGCAACTGCTTCTATACTCACTAATTTGCTTGAACCATTGTCATACCATGAGAGATAAAGCTTTAGATCTGATTCATAGAGGTAAAGGGACTGCATATTTACAATATGGCCTTATTCTTTACATAAATGAAACATATAATAAAGGTGTAGATTAGCAATCTGACATCTAACTTTAGAATCATATGAGATCAAGCTCACCAAGCACACCCATTTCTCCCACTGGTTAATAAATAAATAAATAAAATAAAACATGAAAGGAGCTAAAGAATATGAATTTAAGCGATGGAAATGTCCACCAAATCACAGGATCCAATAAGTGTATAGTGTATGCATGTGTAAATGTACCTATGGAGCTAGGCAGTATATGAAAAACAAATTACTGACTGGAAAGTTAAATTTGTGGCCTATGTTGCTGCATCAAGCAGCACAAATATTGAGAAGGGCAGTAAAATCTCTAATAGTAGTGAATAAGCCCCATTTCAAGATCATCAAACACATGATAAGAACTAGATTGTTTAAACATTAATTTAAAATTTTCCAAGATCATTAAATACATGCATAAAAATGATCAAAAACTTTCCAAGATGTGCAATACTAAAATTTGAGGTGGTCATAGAACCATGTAAACTTGATATCAACTCATGATCCAATTAACAGGTTTATTTTTATGCAAAACAAAAGAACCACTCAAATAAGAAAAGTAACTACCTTTTCTAGCACAAGAGCATGGCCCAGAGGAAGCTTGAGGCCATCGTTTATAACTGACTTGTACCTCAACACCAAGTCTTGATTATTTTTTATCATGGCCTCCGCAACTTCCCGGGCTTTCTTCAACAATGCACTTCCTTCAACAACATGATTCACAAAGCCCAACCTTTCAGCTTGTTCAGCAGTTAGGGGCATGGCTGTTAACGATACTTCACGTGCTTTGTTGGGACCTATAATGCGTGAAAGCTTCTGAGAGAGACCCCATGAAGGAAATATCCCAAACCTATAACAAGTTCACATAACATTAATTTAAAGATCTAATAAGAACACAGAGAAGAACCGTAAATTCCATCATACATATCCAAGATGTTTAAAGTACAATACTTATGTTTCCCTCAACAGTATTTCACAAAACTCAAACTTGGTAATGCTGCAAAGTACCGATTCCTAATCTAATTCAGGGCAAAAAGATGTTGACATTATCAATTTTTATAAAGTGTATTATGCCAAAATGCGTCTTATAATGACATCAACCCAACACAAGATTTGCAATTTAGAAATCTAAGAGAAACAGCATCTTGGGGAAGTGTCAGGAGTATGCCCGGTCCGGTGAACCTCACCAAGTTCTACCGCTGCAGTCCAAGCAAAGCAAACTCTGATGGGGCAAGATCGGCGGACGCCTTTTCATACCGCAGAAATCGATCAGATTTCCATTGTGAAATCATGATTTGTTTGATCATAGGTGTAAATAGCTAAAATCATTGAATCAATCCCAACCCTCTCGTATTAACATTTAATTGTCCAAGCTGAGAATATAGATACTCTTAAGATTAGGAATTGAGTTCCCAAACTATATATATGGTCACAGCAAAACATGAGACAATTACAAAAATAAACTAATTCAAACTATGTCCAAACTGGTGATAATCAAACAACTAGCATTAGTTTCATGCACTATATTCACACTATTCAAATATCTATCCAACAAAAATATAAAAATAAAAATAAACGTCCAACTTAGCATAGCATAATTTCTTGGTAGTTCCATAGCCAAACCATATATGTGGTTTGTAAAATATCCTTCTTTCCTTTTTGTTTCCAACAGGTATAATTGGCAACACAACTGATACACTGCCCCTGCATAAAACCCATACACACATACACACACACACACACACACACACATATATATAGAACAAAAAATTAATTAAAAAAAAAGCCCAAATCATATTCGAAATGTATATACTTCTTTCTCCATTCTAATTGAATGATTGAGAATCTTCGAGAACCTAAAAAAAAAAAAACAAAACACGCAAAAATAAAGAAGTAATTGAGAGAAGAAAAACCTAGCATGAGTGTCCATGAACTTGGCTCCTTTAGCAGCGACCAAAATATCACAAGCAAGAGCGATCTCAAACCCAGCTGTGACAGCGAACCCTCCAATCGCTCCGATGATGGGTTTTCGACAGCGCTCCATCTGGGCAACCGGGTCAATCTCCACGTCCTTCACGTCACCCTTGAAAACGCCCTCCGCCGCCGTCAGGTCCACACCGGAGCAGAACGCCCGGCCCGACCCGGAAAGCACCACGACCCGCACCGAATCGTCTGCGTCCAATGCCTTGAATGCCGTCGCCAGATCCGTCATCATCGGCTTCGTGAGAGAGTTCAGCGACTTGGGTCGGTTGATCGTCACGTAGGCGATCCCGTCTGGTTCGCGGGTCACGAGTATGAGCTTGTCCGGTGACGAACTATCCATTTTTGGTTCTCAATATTGTGTTCGCAATACTGTGTATGTTTTGTCTGTGTATATATATATATATATATACACACACTCGTATTTATCTTCTATTTACATGTCTTTGTCTCTGTATCCTTATCCATTAATCTCGGGTTGCGTGTGCGCGTTGTGGCTGATGTTGTCTTGCATCATATTGTTATGCCTTGGGCGGCTGAGCTTAGTCTGTTAGGACAAAAATCCTCTCCTTTGCACCACTCACTCAAAACTGTTGAGTTGGCAAATGAGTTAAATGAGTATTTATCATATTGTGGGTTATACATGTAATTTACACATCTTCTCTTTATATACTGTATTATTAAATTTATTTATTTAACACAGTATGAGCATTAATATTCAATTTCCCCCAAAAGGAAAATTCCCCTTCGCCCAAAAACTCTGCTATATGTGTAGTGAGTCTAAAAATCAAACAAGAAATCCCTCTATGAAATTTGAAATATCCAAACTCAACCTCATCCAATGACTGATGTGAGCTGAAAAATCTTTACTTGCCCTTCTTCTACCATGTTCTACTAATGCTTTTTATCATATGAGCATGGAGTTTTTAAATCTTTTCAGTCAAATTTCTTCAAGTCTAATCCTCCTTGGAGTGTGAATTCAGTTGGTGTCAGATCGAAGGAACAGACTTATATGTCTTTGTTGTGGTAAAATCTTCAAATTGTCCTTGAAAATCACGTGTTGTTGTAGAATCAAAATCTAAGACTGGTTTAACAAAGAACTCTAAAATTCAACTGCTATTCACTGATTGGTGTTGTTTCTAACATGAGTGGTTTGTTGTTTCATGTCAATGGAAGTCCTTCCTCAGCTCTCAACTCAAAGAAAAATTTCTGGATGGCAGCATTCTCAAATGGTAGGTTCAAGTATATGGTATCACTTCAGAATTGATTTTCATCTCTTGGTATGTTGCTCAGTACCTCAAGTTCATTATTTGAGCATCTATATGTTACTATTCAAATGCTGTGTATGACTTTGAAGAGCTTATTCTGAAGAATTCACTGGAAGTAGCCGTATTCTCACTAATCCAACATAACCATTATCTATTACTGAAATTGTTTCATTGCCTCGTATAATTGCTTGTCCGTTGTCTCTTTATTTTGATCCCTTAAATAAAATTTGTCCTATCCACTGAACTGAAGGTTCAAGCTTATCTCATCTCTCACTGTCATGGTGGCTCCGATATTTGGCCCTTTTGATTTTCAATGTCAAAAAGGGGGAGAATACTAGGTTTTTGTCATTAAAAGGTGAAATAGGGAGATTGTTGATGTGGTTTGCTCTTTGAATGACAAAATATCAGTCCTGTGGCTAAATGGTATAATCTATCTTGAGGTTTGTTCTTGTATACAAGGCTGAAGGCTAAAGGCTAAATTGTACAAGCAGAAGGTTGAAGGCATAAGGCCGAAGGCTGAGGCTGAAGGCTGAAGGAAGTTCTACACAAGGCTGAAGGCTAAATGAACTGAAGGCATTTCTACACGAGGTTGAAGGCTGAAGGCTGAAGGTTGAAGACTGAAGGCATTTCTATATAAGGTTGAAGGCTGAAGACATTTCTATACAGGGCTGAAGGCTGAAGGGCGAAGGTCAAATGGGCTGAAGGCATTTCTATGCAAAGTTGAAGGCTGAAGGCCAAAGGCTAAATGGGTTGTAGCAAACAACATCTGGTTTATGTGACAAGTGTCAAGTTGAAGGGCATTTCTGGAAGTCCATATACAATTGAGGTCAGAAGGCTGTACAATGAATGCTCAAATGACATGTCTCAGTGGTCTTAGAAAAGAATGTGACATGTCTCAGTGGTCCTACAAAAGAATGTGACACGTTTCAGTGGTCCTAGAGAGTTGGTATATGCAAGAATATTTCATTCCTTAAAGGCTAAGTTTGGACAGAAATATAATTCAGTACTCAAACTTGCAACCTACTGTAGCTGGTAGAATAGTGACAAAGTTGGCTGAGGTGGCAGGCCTGTATTGGTCCATTGCTCTGAAAATATCTGAAATATGCTCTCCCAATCATTGGTGAAAGGTGACAGGTGTATATCCGTAGTGTGTGAAGCCTTGGGTAATTTAGAGTCACTATAAATATCCTGTTATAAGGCTCCTTAGGGTTAGAGCCCCATAAATACACAGTGCACTGACTTAAGGCCTTATGAGCTTCAATTGAGCTATTGTGAATGAGAGTCTCGTGAGCTAAGATGTTGAGTGATTTTCAGAGAAAATTTGTGAGGTTCTGAGCTGAATTTAATCTTTGAAATCAACAAGAAAAGGGACACTAAATCACCAAAACATTAAAGATCCAGTGTTGTTGATTTACTGGTGTAAGAAGGGGGTTGCGGAGGTTCAAAAATTGTTGTGGAGGTTTTTGTGGTTTAAACAAGGCTCAAGCAAGTTTGTTTGTGATTTTTACATCTACAGGAGGTGCTCACTTATATAAAGTTGAGCTGAAGTAAGTTTCGATATCTTAAATCCTCTATCAAGCCTGTTTTCTGATTTAGCCTACTAATTTGAGTATACACTGCCTATATCTTGCTATGAGTTACATGTTAAGCATTCTAGCAAGTTTCAATGACTGATTCGAGGCTATTGAAATTAAAAAGTTGCCATAAACCTGACCATTTTGTTGTTCAGCCTTATAAATCTAAGTTATATATTAGAGGTTTAGGCCTGAAAAACTGATATTTGAGCTTTGAAGAGAATATACCATGTTATTCTTGATGTGATTTCTATTTGAGCATGTGTATTAATCTAAAATATGACTAAGGATCTCGAGCATACTATGTCAAATAAGTTTTTCTCTGCTGTTTGATGCTGACCTATGCAAGAAAAATTCATTGAATCAACTATGAGGTGTATATTGAATGTTGAGATGAGGCTGCTGTCAAATTAGCTGATACAAGGGCTTTATTGAATAATGACTTTGGGTTTCAAGCTGTTGTGGTCTATTCTAAAGGTTGTCATAGCTATTCTGTGCCGAGGCTATTCTTTGCCAAAGCTGTTTTGTGCTAAAGCTACTATGTGCTGAGGCTACTCTGTGCTGAGGCTATTCTGTGCCGAGGCTATTTTGTGCTGAAGCTTTCTTGTGCTGAAGCTTTTTGTGCTAAAGTGTGATAATCTTGCTAAGCTTATTGAATACATTGTTTGTGCAAGTGGGCTATGATTATGTGAAGCTGTGAGAACCAACATTAACTCAAGGTTCAAGTGATTTGACTGATTTACCCTTCTTAGAGTTTTGAAGCCTTATATACTGAACGTATTGTGTACTTGTTGTCTATTAATCAAGAATTATTTGAGCAAGTCAGTTGAACTAATTCAAGGCTATGGGAACCTAGTGTGAGCTACACGTGAAGCTGCATTGTGATTTTACGGTTCAATCCTTCCAATTGCAATGAAGAAAAAGCTTGGGTTTCATATTGTTCTACTTCAAGCTGTGTGTGTTCATTCTTATATTTTGTTGCAGCTGAAGTAGTATGTACTTAGTGTATTGGGACTTTATTGCATATGGTAGTGAGGATTTACATCCTCACCCCATTATTGATGAGCTAGTGTGTTGACACTTATTATAAATGGCAATGAGGCTTTACATCCTCACCCCATTGATGATAATGGCAGTGAGGCATGATCCCTCACCCCATTGTTGAGTGGCAGTGAGGCTTTACATCTTCACCCCACTATAGAGTGAGCTTTGAAAGCTTATTGGGTCCAAGCGTGGTTGCTTCGGACAGGGGGAGTGCGTGGATGCATTGTGGTGTCCTAGTGTGTGTGTATTGGTTGGGAAAACTAGTGTCTATTATGGTGCATGGGTGTGTGCAAAGAGTGAGACAGCTGAGTGTGTAACAAGATACATACAACTAGTGGATTGCTTATTAGCTGAGGCCAAGAACCAAGGTTTTTCCCTATTCAGAGGGTTTCCTTGTATACCTTGTGTTATGTGCTTAATTGGTGTTTAACTTGTGTTGCTTTCAGTGAAGAAAAAGTTTAATAAGACCAATTCACCCCTCTCTTGGTCTAACAGTTTTTAGGTTTTTAGATTATTTCCTTGTTGATTTTTTTTTTAATCACCGATGTGATAGAATTTTTCTGGAAATTAATTCGAAAAAGTTTTTTTTTTGTCAAAAGAACACAAGGTTTCAAGATTGTGTCTCTTGAACGAGTTCCAAAAGGTGGGAATTGGTTCAAGTTGTCCACTAGCTCAAAGCTAAAGTGGACTGTTGGTTTGGAACCAGTTCCTATGTTTGGGAACTGGTTCAAGGCATCGGGCATAGGCACTTAAGGCCTAGCATGCGCCCATTGAAAGGAACTTTGCTCTCTCTCTTTTGTTGCGAATTTTTGCCCTCTTTTCTCTCACATTTCACAACTCTCATACACCCACATATATGTATCATCTATAGATATTGTTCATCATTCCATAACATATATTGCATGAATATCATTGAGAATTGAAGAACAATTACATGATGATGAAGATTGAAACTTGCAAATTGGGTTTAAGTTGAAAGTGGTGGAAGGGATTGAAGAACTTAAAGATTGGTTTAACTTGATTGTTGATGATAGTTGAAGTTTCTAAAGTGAAATTGAGTTGATTTCTACATTGTTGATTGATTTTTGGAATAATTGAAGTTTGAAATCAAGCTTTCTATAAACACTTTTGAGGTTGCACACCAAGTGTTTGATAGAATTCCCAAGAGAAGTTGAAGGCTTCAAAGTGAAATTTTTTTATGAAGAACATGGCACCAAAATTTTCCAAAGAAGCCAAAGGTAAAGGAATTGAAGTTTCAGAAGCTCACAACCGAGCTAGAACTGGTATTGTCGTCATGATGCATGAATAAAATAAAGAATGGATGCGGAGTTTGATGCGAATGATGAAGAATATTGATGTCCTTTTGACATTATTTTTGGAGATACTGATGCTTGATATTTTATCTTTCATCATGACATCATACACTTTAATTATCACATGGTCATTATTTTTGGAAATTCTTGGTTTTGCTTTAATGACATGTTTAGGTGTTTATTTGTGTCTCTTATTTGTCTCTATCCTTTGTCAATTTGTTACAAAAAGGCGGAGAACAAATGTGATATTCAGGGGGAGATAAT